CGCCTCATTTACTTGCTCAGCAGATGCGCTGCTGCTAAGCGTTAAAAGAGCCGGACACTCCTCTTTCCTGCCAAACACCCAATCGGTGCTCTTCACCCTGCAAGGTCTCGCGCCTCCCTGCTAGTTCCCAGGTGAGGTCCTGGAGATAAGCAGAAAGGTGTTAAAATTGTCAAATTGCCTTTATGAGGGACAAATAGATTTGGACCCCAATTTAGTCCGTTGGACAAGTAGTTTTATTAAAACTTTCCACACCCCTGAGCAATATAATAAATGTTTGCTTTTGGGTTTAATGCTGCTTTAACCAAAGTTAGTCTGTAGGTAAATTGTATGTAAACCCATCTACGCCCCTCCTCCATTCATGCTGGTTGGGAATCAGTATCACACTAAACAATTCATTTGTATATTGCAACAATCCAATTTTTAGACATTTCCTCTATTTTTCTTTGTCAGGTCACATGATCTATCTCTTTGATCACTGCACAGTCCAATCTCTGGACGGGGCTACTGTCTTCTGGCCCAGGCTGTCAATCACTGGGCAGGATTCTCCCCACCAAGCTCATTGCCCTGTTAAGTCTTAGGTGTCATGTGCCCTGCTGGATCCTTCTCACCAGTCTCATTGCACAGTCCAATCTGCAGGCAGGGCTTGGGCACAGAAAGGGGAATTTACTAAAAGTGGAGCCACTGTGCAGAGTAATCATACAGATTCTATCCTCAGCTTGTGCAGTTAAAGCAGAACTTCACCCAAAAAGGGAAGTTCCATTTATCCCCCTCCTCCCCAGCTCCTCTGCCACATTTTTTTTTTTTTGGGGGGGGGGGTGTACCTGGTTTTGATAGGTACTTCCGCAGGATCGCCAAGGCAGTCCAAGCAGAAGTTCTAGTCCTAGTAACTGGCAAGATTATTCGGTCTTTAATATTTACTGCAATCATTTCTCAAGAAAGAAAAGCACACATCAACAGACGAATGTGTTTGTGTCATGACAGGTTTACTTTACTACTGGGTGTGGAAGGGACCATGTCTGGCTCCTCAAGGTATAGGACACCGGGTCACACACAGAGCAATAGCCAAAATCTGGGAGTATGTAATTCTGATATATTTTAGTTATTAATTTTATTACTTTGTTTTACTTTTTAAATATACGTTATAGATATTTTATTTTACTTTTTTTTATAGAGAAAACTGAACCATTCACATCAGTGCCTGTCAAGGATGTCAACATCTAATGACTTTGCTGCAATAATACACTGTGGGAGAAATATGGGTAAAAGACAATGTATGCAGGATTTATTGCACACCAACAGTTTGCGCAGCTCTTTACAAAAATGGAGACAGGACCGAATACAAAAGGATTAGGAGGGCCCTACTCACAAGGGCTTACAATCTAAAGGGGGAGGAAGGTGCGGTAAGTGATGCAAGAGCGGGTGTGGGGTGCATTGGAGCTAATTATTATTATTATTATACAGTATTTATATAGCGCCAAAAGGTTTGCTCAGCGCTGTACATTATAGTGGGGACAGAACATGAGACAATACAGTAACAAAACAATACACGAGGGGTTAGAGGGCCCTGCTCTTTCGAGCTAATGGAGAAAGTAATAGTTTAGATTTCAATTAGAGGTGGGATAGGCCTCCCTAAGGAGATACATTTTAAGGGTTGGCTACAGGCAGGCAGAGTCAAGAATAGCTTGTGGTAGGGAATTCCAGAGCATGGGAGAAGTCCTGGAGGAAAACATTGAAGAAGGTGACGAGGGAGCTAGAGAGGAAGGAGGTCTTGGGAGGAGCGGCAAAAACAATTCATGAGACTCGGTTGGTGATGTAGCTGGGGGTAGAGGTGTGGATGGCTTTGTATGCTGCTGCTAGTATTTTGGATTTTATTTATTGGAGAGTTGAAGCCAGTTGGAGGGATTGGCAGGGAGGGGTGGTGGACATTGAACAACTGGTAAGGTGCATGAGTCCTGCAGTGTTTGTGGTAGACTCAAGATGGTGGGGGGAAGCTGTGTAGAGGAAGGCCGATGAGGAGGAAGTTGTAGTAGATGAGATGAGGGATAACAAGAGTGTGATTTATTAGATTTGTGATGTCAATGGTTAGGAAGGAGTGAATTTTGGAGATGTTGCTGAGGTTGAGGCAGCAAGATTCGATCAGCCATTGGATGCAGGGCACAAAGGAGTGTTTGGAATCCAGGATTATACCTAGCACCCTGGTATGGGTGAAACAGTTTGTGCCATTGACCTTAAAGTGGTTCTAAAGGCTTGAGGTTTTTTACTTTCATGTACTGTATGCATGAAAATTAAAAAACCTTCAGTTTGCAGTGGCTCCCCCAGCCCCTCCCAATACTCACCTGAGCCCCATCTCGTCCAGCAATGTGCACAGGAGATGTGACTTTTCAGGTCTCTCCTCACTCATTGGCTTGGACACAGCAGTGGGAGTCACAGCCATAGGCTCCCACTGCTGTCAATTACAGCCTGTGAGGAGGAAGTGGGGGGGGGGGGGTAAGGCCGAGTCACCTGCTCTACTGTGTCTTATGGATGTGGAGAGCAGGGCTCGGGGGCGAGCATGTACCAGTGTCCCCATAGCAAGCCGCTTGCTATGGGGCACTGCTCAAGGGGGAGAGACCAGAATCACCAGCAGGGGACCCAAGAAGAGAAGGATGGGGCCACTCTCTGCAAAACCATTGTAAGAGCAGGTAAGTATGACATGTCTGTTATTTACAAAAACAAAATGAGGCTTTAGTATCAATTTAATGGAAAAGTTAGGGGAAGGTTCATGGGGGGAGGAAACATTGTGCATTTTGAAAGGCTGAATCTCGGAAAGGTGTGTGATATCCATACTAATATATAGCATATCCGTTAATAAGTTAGTGGTGTGCAATTAGCATGTCGGTATGGGTTCAGATTGTTATAGTAAAGCTATGCAGCCAGGGAGAAGATAGTACATCTGGTGGAATTTCAGGGCAAGTGTGCTGCCATAGTAATAATCATCAATTGTATCTGAAATGTTAAAGCAGGGGGTCTCCGAACCTTTCAATAGGAAGGGCCACATCATATGTTTTACTATCATACATGGGCCGAAAAAAATCCACATTACATCAGGATCCCCATCAGGGTCCTCATTAGAGTCTCAGCCTTACAGCGGTATGCCCATCACATCATGGACCCCGGGTACATGGGGGGGGGGGGTTCGGTTGTGGCCCACAGGTCGTAGTTTGAAACCCCTGTGTTAAAGCATAGTGGGATAGCTGAATGTACAGTTGAAACGCATATATGTGGACGGTTTCATCTGCAAAATATTCTTAACTCTGTTATAATTAGAGCACACTTCATGTCTTTTTGTGTCCTAGTCTCATTTCTACCTCTTTCTCCTGAAATAATCTGCTCTAAAATATCAGTGCATTTATCTGATGGAGGTACTGAGCTCACTCTGGTCCCAACACTCTATTCCAGTGCAGGGGTGGACTGAGAACTCATGGGGCCCCCGGGCAATAGGGGATCATGGGGCCCCTGTGTCCTTGCCCAAACTCAAAAAAGCCTATGAAAAAGGTACCAGGGGCATCTCATGGGCCCCCTACTGACCCCGGGCCCTCGGGCAGTGCCCGAGTTTCCAAATGGTCAGTCCGCCCCTGTTCCAGTGCAGAATGGCAGGAAGTACTATTTATTAGCTGCTCCGGCAGACACAACCAGGATTACTACTGCTGCAGCTAAAAGTAATTCCAGGAATGGAGCTGAGGGAGCCCAGAACCTCTATGGGAGGGGGGGAGGGGAGGGTAGTTTAGGAAGTTATGGTTACAAAAGGTCAGAGGATACAAAAATAGACTTTTGGTTACCCATAACGCTTGATAATAAATAATATTCTTTAGCAAGAAAAATATATTCCACATTAATAATTATTTTACCAATGTCTGTGTGTGCTGTAAATTGCCTCCAGTATTGTTCCTGTTTCTTCTTGCTGGAGGCTGCCATTTTGCTGAAGCCCAGAGCCCCTGAGCAGCAGTAAATCTTTAGGATGTCAGCAGATCGGCCTCTACAAATTCAGCACAGTGCCAAAATATAGAGAGCAGATGTGTATGTGCAGAGCAGAGTGAGACAATGTATTACTGGATTTTATACAATATAGGCACTTATTTCAGTGTGTTACATAGCTATGCCTGCTAAAGAAGCCATCCTGAAGTGATCTAGCAGGACTTAATTCTCTGACTAAAAATCCACTTTAATGCCTGATTTTACCCTATTTTTTTTTTTTTTTTTTAGCAACAACAAGGTCTCTTTAACAACAATGTGCTATCCACACAGATAGCACCTTGTTTTCCATGAGTTAGACAATTCAGCCAATTACTCTGAGAAGGAGCCGTAAAACACAACTATTGCGTAGCACTGCAAAGCCAGAGGTTGAGCATGAGTAGTTAGAATGAATCAGACATACTAAAAGAATTGTGGGATCTTTAAGGCACCAAGAAAACACAAATATAAAACAAATACATCTGTTTTATGTTTGTGTTTTCTTGGAGCCCTAAAGTGATTGTAAAGCTTAATTTTTTTTTTTTTTTCTCAAATAACAAACATGTCATACCTGCTATATGTAATGGTTTTGCACAGAGCAGCCCGGATCCTCCTCTTCTCAGGTCCCCCACAGGTACTCCTGGCTTCTCCTACTCAGCCCAGTGCCCCCGCTTCCTATGGGGACACTTGTGCGGGCATGCTTCAGAGCCTCGCTGTTTGCGTTCATAAACACAGACAGCTGGGCACAGTCTCACTCCCTCTTGACAGAGTTTGATTGAGAGCAGTAGGTACCAATGGCTCCCACTGCTTTCAATCTGCCATGTGAGGATGGAGAGAGACGCTGCTCTCATGCACAGCGCTGGATCGCAATGGGGCTCAGGAAAGTATTAGGGGGTGCTCGGGGGGAATCCTTTCCTTTTTTTTTTTTTTACCTTTAAAGCTGAGTTCCACTCACCCTGTTAAAAAATAAAAGTCAGCAGCTACAAAAACTGTAGCTGCTGACTTTTAAAAAACAGCCACGTACCTGTCCCTCGGTCCCGTGGTGTGTCATCTGTTTCACTAGCCGTCCTGTATTCCAGTAGGCTAGCATCTTCATTGTGGGCACTCGGCTGTGATAGCTTTTGGCTTCTCAGCCGGGTACGCACTGCGCATGCACGAGTAGCACTGCGCTTCATGAATGGTCCTGTAGTCTTCTGGAACATGTCACGTGTCCCAAAAGACTACAGGAAGGGAGGGAGGACACCTTCCGTTTCCGATCACCTAGGCCAGGGGTCTGCAACCTTTAAGACATAAAGAGCCACTTGGACCCGTTTCCGAGAGGGAAAAAAAGACTGGGAGCCGCAAAACCATTGCAACATTTAAAACAAATCCGACACTGCATATATTGCAAAAAACGCTCTGGTCATGAAGGGGGTTTAAGGCCCAGTAAGCAAAGGGTTAATCAGGGCCACAGTGTATCGTCATAATCACAATCATAGCCTTAGGTCAGTGGTGTGCAACCTTTTTTTTCGACTGAGCCAAATCTCGCCAAAACCACGATTGAAATTTATTTTGAGAGAAACATTTTTAAAACTGAAAATACATCCCCCATATAGTAATTCATCCCCCATATAGTAATTCATCCCCCATATAGTAATTCATCCCCCATATAGTAATTCATCCCCCATATAGTAATTCATCCCCCATAGTAATTCATCCCCCCTATAGTAATTCATCCCCCCTATAGTAATTCATCCCCCCTATAGTAATTCATCCCCCCTATCATCCCCCATAGTAATTCATTCCCCATATTGACTTACCTTTGCTCCGCGCGTTCCTCTCGCTGGGTTCCCGCACCGTTCTGGTCTTTAGGGCGGACTGTGAGAGGAGAGGAGTTCGTCACGCTGCCCCGCCTACATCCGTTCCGACTGCTGCCCCGCCTACATCCTGACAGCCAATGTTTGCCAGCGGGCGCCCGGCACACAGAAGATCTGCATTAAAAGAGCCGCGGCTTGCCGACCCTATTGCCTGTCACCTGGTGGGCAGTGTGCTCCGGAGCCGCAGGAAAGGTGAAAAAGAGCCGCGGGTTGCCGACACCCCGACCTAGGCAATCGGACCGGAAGTGGGAGCGGGTACCTTTCAAATACCCGCTCCCCCCCCGACCCCCAAAGGTGCCAATCTTTAATGGGGGGAGCAGTCCTTAAAGCGGAACTTCCCCTTTTGGGTGGAGCTCCACTTTAAGGCTCAGTTCACAATGTTGCAACCCCAAAGTCTTGCAATTTGCTTGTGAATTTTGTGATTTACCATTGCAGTCTATGGCACTCAAGTCACACCCAAGTCTCAGAAAAATAGCGTCGGAACCTCTTTTTATTATTTTGCGGCAACTTGAGTTGCATCGATTAAGACGCCACCCATTGAAATTAATGCGTTTTTTGACTTGTCATGCGACTTTGTGTCGCAAGTCGCACAATAAGTCACAGAAGTGAGAAACATTAATAATGCAGAGAATGCATTAAGGCAATAACCCTTTAGGCTTTTCAACCACTTTAAAAATCCCACTTTTTGGATTTTTTTTACTTTATCTGATGTATTGAGGATGTGGCACCTTGGCCTACATCAGACTGTATTTTGAGTAGTTAGAATAAGTATAACTGTCCCCATGTACGCATACTACAACTATAGCAACGTTGTTGAAACATTAACGTGCATTAATACTTGCATCAAGCTGATATCTTCAATTAAATGTCTGAAGTAAAAATAAGACTGTACACTTCCTTTACATGCAAGGTCCCCTGTTTACCATTTCTGTCCCCCCTCCTCCCTGAAATGCTCTAAATATACTTAAATGAAGAAAAGATAACACAAGGCAAAAAAATAGGTTTTATATTATATGTATGCTAAGTACTCCCAGTCTCACAAGAAGATGTTTCAAAATTTTCTCTGAGAAATGTGGAATACTCTGATCTCCATCTCCCACTCAAAGGATGATGTCACCCTTGCACTACAACCAGAAATCAGGGAAAGGTGAGAATACCATCTAATGCAGGCCATAGACGGGAGAAAACCCGCTGTTTTTTTTTTTTAGAAAAACGAAAAATCGGTCGTTCAATCAGCCGACGTTACCACCATTGGTAAAAAAAAAAAAAAGTCGGCTGATTTTTGTCCCGTCTACGGCCGGCAATTATATAGAATATGCAGAAGAAGAAGAAATAGAATATGCAAAAGAAGAAGAATAAAATATGAAGAAGAAAAAGTTGCAACATTGTATCTATTTGTATCCATTTAGGATACAGATGTTTATATTTGGATACAAATAGATACAATGTTGCTATACTTTTAAATGTCAAAATATAATATCGGACTGAAATTCTTTTTTTTTTTTCCTTCTTCATATTCTATTTCTTCTTTTTCTTCTTCTTTATATTCTATTTCTTCTTCTCTTTTTTATTCTATTTCTTCTTTTTATTCATATTCTATTTCTTCTTCTCATTCATATTCTATTTTTTTCCTTTTCTGCTTTTCCTTCTTTCTTTCATGTCACTGCTCATGCGCATTTTTTAAAATCGGAAAAAGATCGGTAGATTTGTCCATCATTGCCGCGAAAATCGTCAGAACGACAAATTTGGCCGATTTTTTTTCCAGCAGGACTGATAATCGAAAAGTGCAAAAATCACTAAAAACGGCCGACCGATTACCGCACTAACGATCCAAAAGTCGGCCAATTTTTTTTTTTTTTTTTTGGCTGATTTTCGGCCATTTTTCATCCCATCTATGGCCCGCATAACTTTCAGGTGATTTTTAAACCATTCCTTATGTTTTATCAATAATGAGGAGGGGCAAAGGTAAACAGTGGGCCTTGATTTTTAGGCACAAGGTCCTCTTTAAGTGACTCTATCATTATATTCTTTATCGCATAGTTTTGTGCGCCATCCGCTATTCCTAATTTGTGTAGTTACATTTCTAATTGACGTTTATTTGTATGTTGCATACAGGGTCCAGTACTGACTTTCTAATTTAGTCACCTGTTCAGCATCATGGCAGAGAGGAACAGTACTAGCTGGTCCAAGAAGGTGGTAGCCTTTTGTACCAATCCAAGGTCCTTCTTATCCAGCATAACCGCGGAGAGTTTTTTGGATGATCTGTTAAAAGATCTGAAGAGTGAAAGTTTGAACGAACAAACAAAGGTATTTGGGGAAATTAAGTCTTGGGGTCTTTAGCCTGTTAAATCTATTTTTTGTTTTATTTTATTTAATTTTATTGCTCATCTACACGATTAAAGCTGGCCACATGCTAGAGCTACACTATATTGTCAAAAGTATTGGGACACCTGCCTTTACACGCACATGAACTTTAATGGCATCCCAGTCTTAGTCCGTAGGGTTCAATATTGAGTTGGCCCACCCTTTGCAGCTATAACAGCTTCAACTCTTCTGGGAAGGCCGTCCACAATGTTTAGGAGGGTGTCTATGGGAAGGTTTGACCATTCTTCCAGAAGTGCATTTGTGAGGTCAGGCACTGATGTTGGATGAAAAAGGCCTGGCTCACAGTCTCTGCTCTAATTTGTCCCAAAGGTGTTCTTTCAGGTTGAGGTCAGGACTCTGTGCAGGCCAGTCAAGTTCCTCCACCCCAAACTCACTCATCCATGTCTTCATGAACCTTGCTTTGTGCACTGGTGCGCAGTCATGTTGGAACAGGAAGGGGCCATCCCCAAACTGTTCCCACAAAGGTTGGAAGCATGAAATTGGCCAAAATGTCTTGGTATGCTAATGCCTTAAGAGTTCCTTTCACTGGAACTAAGGGGCCAAGCCCAACCCCTGTAAAACAACCCCACACCATAATCCCCCCTCGACCAAACTTTACACTTGGCACAATGCAGTCAGGCAAATACCATTCTTCTGGCAACTGCCAAACCCAGACACATCTATCGGATTGCCAAACAGAGAATCGTGATTCATCACTCCAGAGAACACGTTTCCAATGCTTTAGAGTCCAGTGGTGGCTTTACACCACTGCATCTGATGCTTTGCATTGCACTTGGTGATGTAAGGCTTGGATGCAGCTACTCGGCTATGGAAACCCATTCCATGAAGCTCTCTACACACTGTTTTGCTAATCTGAAGGCCACACAAGTTTGGAGGTTTTAGCTATTGACTCTGCAGACAGTTGGCGACCTCTGCTCACTTTGTTCTTCAGCATGTGCTGACCCCGCTCTGTCATTTTATATGGCCTACCACTTTGTGGCTGAGTTGCTGTTGTTCCCAGTTGCTTCTACTTTGTTACAATACCACTAACAGTTGACTGTGGAATATTTAGTAACAAGGAAATTTCATGGATGGACATATTGCACAGGTGACAACCTATCCTGGTACCATGCTTGAATTCACTGAGCCCATGAGAGCGACCCATTCTTTCACAAATGTCTGTAGAAGCAGTCTGCATGCCTAGGTGCTTGATTTTTTTACACCTGTGGCCATGGAGGTGATTGCAACACCAGAATCCAATGATTTGAAGGGGTGTCCCAATACTTTTGGCAATATAGTGTATGTCTGCATGTGAGAAGCACCAGATAATGCCTAATTACCTTTGTTATACAGGAAAGACTATTTTGTGTTGCCCTTCCCGACTTTGGGATTAAAGTGCTTGTAAAAGCTCAAGATTTTGTTTTACCTTCATGTATTCTATGCATGAAGGTAAAAAACCTTTGTGTGCAGCAGCCCCCCTAATACTTACCTGAGCCCCATCACGATCCAGCCATGTGCACAAGAGCCCAGCTCTCTGGGAACTCTCCCTCCTCATTGGCTGAGACAGCAGCGGAAGCCATTGGCTCCCACTGCTGTCAAGCACAGCCAGTGAGACAATGAGGAGAGAGAGGGGGGTGGGGCTGAGCCACGGCTCTGTGTGTGCATAGACACGTAGAGCTGTGGCTCTGGAGTGAGCCTCTCTGGCTTCCCCCATAGCAGGCTGCTTGCTCTGGGGGCATTGGCAAGAGGGAAGGGGCCAGGAATGCCGGCCGAACACATGAGAAGAGGGGGCTGCTCTGTGCAAAACCCCTGCACAGAGCAGGTAAGTATAACATGTTTGTTATTTATTTTTTATTTTTTTAATTGCCTTTTAATATAGCTTTAAGCGGTGCCTCCAGGGTTAATGTGTCTATAACTAAAACATTTTTTAGATACATAGATATTAGTAAGGAATGGTTAGAATTCCTGTAATTTTTTTTTTTTTCTTACCTAAGCAATTCTTGATTGATTTAATTCCTTTCCCCCCTGGCCTAAAGCTTTCTGGAATACTCGCAACATGCATCCCAGGAGGCTTTAGGTCAATCCTGTACATGCGCAGTTGCATGTCATTCAAGGGCCGACTGCAAGAGCCCAAAAGAGACGGCCAGCCCCCTGGTGACATAAGAAGAGGGGATGGAGGCTGGGGACTCGGTATGCAGTAGGTTACACCAGGCTTGGAGTACGTTTCCACTTTACTTTATTTTAAAAGTGTAGTTATCCTTTAAAGCAACTAAAAGTTAAAAAAGCTGCACTGTAAAAGAATAATACTTGCCTACCCTGTGCCTCCGAAGACATGGGCGTTGGGTAGGTTTGTATTCTTATTTTACATGTTGGCATTTTTTTTTTTAGCAGCAACAAAGTTCTAACAGAGACTTTTTTACTGTAGAGCAAGTTTTTTTTTTTTTTTTTTTGTTTTTTTTTTTCATGCCCCTTCCTGGCCAAAACAAAAAAAATTTAGCATTCCTGAGCATTAAGTACCACAAATCTCACAAGAAGATGCTCCAGCACAAAGCAATAGCATCTTATAGTTCTCATCTAATCGCTACTTAATAGTTTTATAGTTAAGAGCAACAAACCCATTTTCCTCTTTCGGTGCACACGGCTTGTTATTCTGTCCACAGAGCCTATGACAGTGTTTGTCCTTGCAGTGTTCTGTAACTGACACAGATAATCTTTTTCTGTTCTAGGTTTTAATGCTGAATCTTTTATTAGAGTTTCCTACAACTCTGTGTCCAGAGAAAGCTGCAGGTGAACTTACCGCTGAGATCCTGATAAATATTTTACAACAAATGTCAACTTCAGTGAAAAGTATAAGTTTAAGGTGCCACCTCCTGTTAGCAATCGAGACTGTGCTGATCACCACTGATAACTTCAACTGCAATTGCAAAGTAGCCCAGGACTTCGCCTCTTTTCTAATGCACCTTATATCAGACATCAATGACAAGAAGCAGGGGTCATCCAACAGGCCTGTACGCATCATGGCTTGTGAGTGCCTGAGAGAACTGGAGTACTGCTACCCGGGGCTCCTGTCACAAAGGCTAGAACATTTATACACAATGCAGCAACAAGAAATTACTAGCGCTCATCAGTCGTACACACTTCTATACAGTGTGACCCTCAAGAATGCAATACAGATCCTAGCGCAGAAAGAAGGACCATCTAATGGAACCCTCAAGCAAATGCTGACAAGCAATGACAGTTTTCTTTGGAGTGCCACAAAAGACATGAAGGAACTTCAGCCATCCTCAGGAGAGCAACTTTTTCTGCTACCATCAAACAATGAGACCAAAGAATTAAAATCTATCCTAGCTCTGTTATTAGAGGACTCCTATCTCTTTACTGCTGCATGCCAAAACACTCTGTTTTGGCAGATAACACAGATCGTGGCCATGGTTCGTACCATATCGCCCGTCATTTTCAAGTCTCAGCTCGTGCGACTGTTTGGAACAAAAGACATTTCGTGTTTTCACAGCATTCTTCAAATGAAAGCAGTCTTCACAGATAGTTTGTTTACAGCTGAAGATGAGCACTTTCTCCTACAGAGGCTGGTGGGGATGACGCAGCATCCACTTCTCTCTACGCCAGTGAAGCTGTTCTACTTAGATTGTCTGTTGCACTTTCCGGAGAACAGACCACTAAACTCAAACCCCGGGGAGAATCTACCAGTCCTGCTAACTGTCCAAATGACATCATCCTTATTCCCCAACATTTTCAATGACTGCATCACAATGCTCTGCAGGCAGAATTTGCTGAGCATGGTATATCTGGAAAATGAAGGTTATCGTTCTGAGAAGGGTATAGAATACTTGTTTGAACATCTCATGGCATTGTATAGCATGGTTGACAGAAATGCAGGCAGAGAGATTACAGCAACCTTTTTCCGTTCTGTGTATATTTTTGTTCGCTACTTTAATTTTTGTGAAAAGCACATGGAAAATTTGACCAGAAGTCTATTGGAGCTGTACAGAAGCCAAAGTTATTTGGCGCTTTATTTTATCAACTTGATTAATCAGACGCAGATTTTACTGGAATTTCAGCCTTGGCCAGGATCATTGTCCAAAGGTTTACAAAGGCACATAGTCAACCTTCCTATAGAAAGTTCAACCATAAAGTTTCTTCGGTGGCATCTCAAAGTACTTTCTAGAGTAGCCCAAGAAAATACCATTCCACAAACAAGTACAGTCCTCTTCTTAAGACGTTTGGTTTTTCAGTCTGGCCTGTGCCAAAAAGGGGACTGGGGTTTGGGCAACGCTTTGTTGTCTGTCTGCAAACACATTCTCCAACATGAGCATTTAGACGTGGTCTTCATGCACTTGGCAGATCTTTTGCAGCATCTGATGCACCATTTTGAAGACATTGACATCCAAGACCGTTCACGCCTCTATTACATTCTCCTGACCAATGTTTCTAGTGACAAGCTTGGTAAAATTCTCAACATGTCTCCGATGGGTGGTCCAACAAAAACTAGGTCCTTGTCCTCGATAATGACTGAAAGTGAGAACTTCTCCACCTTGCTAACAATTCACAACACAGAAAAGGCAATTCTCTGTTTGTGTCCAGTTCATGATGAAAAAAGTTCTTTGTTGCCTTTTGCTAAAGAATCTATGGAAGAAAGTCCATCAGCTGAATATGGTCTTAAAGATTACTACCAATACCTTGAGGATAATGTTTCCTCATTGCTTGCTTTGAAGTACCATTTGACTTTCAAAGGAGATGTTGAGAAAAAATTTCATAAACTCTCTTGTATTGTGCTTCACTTTGAACTTATAAATGCTAATTTTGAAGAAATTAGTGATGTCAGTGTAATGTGCCTCTATGCTGACAGAAAACCTCCGGTGGTCACTATTTATTTGGTTCCTAAAGATCCGTATCCATCCATATTGAATGTAAATGCCACATTTAATACTGAGGATGGATACACTTATTTTTCAAGACTCGAACCTCTGCATATTGCATTCCCAGAACTCTTTGCTAATCTTCCTGTGCCAGAGTCTTGTTCATTAGATGCCCGGTACCACCTGTTTGTCAGTCTCTGGCAAACTATGCAGCCTGATGATCAAAACTGGTGTGAAGAAAGTATATTCTGCCACAAGATGTCAAAGGAGTCTCTACGAGTCTTTGTGCAGTCCCATTTCTCCAAATTTGTGGTGTCTTATCATGATCATGAATACAAAATTGCCATACTGCTACCACCCAGATTCCACATCTTAATTCATGCTCGCTTTCAAGGGGACATGGCTTGTTTTGACATTAGAACTAATAATTGGAAAATACTGCCATACTTGAATTCCCATCTACGTGATCTGTCAAAGAACACGTGAAAAATGTTTATGAATGTTCCCGTGGTGTCACAAAAGTAATCCATCATTTTGAGTGCTGAATCTGTTTCAGTTTGACAGTTTAGAAGTTACCAATGAGTACAGCGGGGCAAGGTCCACTTGGTCTTATCCCTCAGGGCTGTAGCATGTGATTAAATAAGTGTCATGCCTGTGAATAATGGTTTAACCTAAAAAAAAAATCTACTTCTGTACCGAGTACAGAACTTATATGTGATAAAGGGAGTTCATCAGGATACAAATATGGCTAAATGCAGCGCTGACTTTCTTGGAATGTACAAACTCCAGGACCGACCTACTTCCCTATTTAGAGAGTCCAACCAAGACTCGGAGTAGGTATGCAGCCAGTTAGGTGACGGGACATATATTGGTTTCCAGTCAGTAAATCTTCAAATTGAAGAAGGATCAAGTTGCAGTTCTGGAGCCAGAAAAAACTAGCAATTGCAGCTCATATTTCTATCCCTTTAATGTATTTCTAAAGCTGATGATTTTCTTTTCATTTTGGATAGAGTATGAAACGTTTAAAACACTTTTTATAATTTTTTTTTTTTTAATCTATGTTTTGCTCCCTTAGTTGATTTTCCTTTATTTCTTTTGACAGAACAGGAATTAAGGGATGGCAGGAGATCTCTTCAGAGTGGATAAAATGCCCTCAAAGACCGTCGCTCGAAATCATGTCCCATTTGAAATATATTTTCCCCATATGACATATTTTGGATTTTCTCTCCTTTTCAGACCCAGAGACGGTGCTCTCTAGGAGAGGGTAAATCCCTCTAATGGAAACACAGACAGCATTAACAACCTGGCAAGGGATTCCAGCACTTTGCCACTCTATCCAATCTAAAAATCGTTTTCGTTTTAGATAATCTTAAATACTGCCTGCTTATAGGTATATGACCTATATCTATACTTTAGTTGAAGTACAACTAAAGGCAAATCTTTTTTTTTTTTTTTTGGATAGAGTGCAGAGTGCCTGTCATGTTTTATTGTTGTCTGCACCCCATCTTTATTTGTCCTGTTACCGTTCTCATTGAAAGTAAAAGTCCATAATTTTGGGTTGTCTCTAGAAAATTAATAAATGGGTAATCTTCCAATGGAGACACTAGTTTTGGTGACCTGGGGGTCCCCAAGGAGTTCCCATTATTTGCAGGGATTTCACTCACTTTATGTTTTGGCTATGGGACAGGAAGTGAAGGGAAATCTCTGCAATGGGGCACAAATGGCCAAAAAACATCTGACGGGTTATAACCATCTTACTCTATCCAAAATGAAAAAAAAAAGGTTTTGCATTATGTTGCAGTTTAGGGATTACCCTACATATTACAGTCTGACTGTACAATCTCCCTTACATCTACCAACAATTATATAGGCCAAAGGCTTGTCTGATTGGATGCAAATTGATTAAATAATTTAGGTAGGGCATCCTATTACATAGTTTTGGTTTGTTTTAAAAGGAGATTTTACAAAGACTGTACAGTCAGAGTGTAATGTATATTCTGAGCTCAATCGTCATCTGACAGTAACATAGGGTACAATCACAATGGAGCACAGATGTTGTTTGCACTATTTTTTCCCCATCTGGGCAGCATTGCAATGTTATCTTGATTTTGTTGAATGTCCACATCTACAGAATAGGCAATCAGTACAGGCAACAAAGACCTCCTTTTACATGTATGGATATGTTGCAGTTTGTTCCCCTGAAATGTGAAAAAAAAAAGCAAACCGCAAGTCCACCACAGGAAGCAACGCAGTGCTCATTGCAGCATTCATGAGCCAAAAAGGGATGTTTGCCTGTTAATTGTTTAATGTGTTTATTTACTGATGAGCCAGGACTGCCTTATCAGCTCCAGTGTTAAAATACAGATGTTAGTTTCTACATTTAAGTGTTTTAATCTTGCATTCAGATTCTAAGGGAAAAAAAAATCTATATTTTGTAAAAAATGTTTTAATCAAGACCATAGAAACTGTATCAAGTATAATATATAGATTTTTACTTTTTTTAGAAGTCCATTTGTTATGTATGTGTGGCACAAAACAGAAGATGTTTTAACTTACAGGTTAATCACCATTTTTATTCTGAGCTGCGTGGCAAAAAAAACCCAAAAAACCTTTTCCTGTCTAGTTTACACACCACTTAAGATTTTGCACAGATTGAGGTAGCATTAGACTAGCTGTAGGTTTATTGTAGTGAGTGTTTGAGTTTTGATTCAACACTTACTAAGAGTATATCAGTATATCTGAAGGATTGTCAAGGTGCAGGATCTCTAGATGTACATTTTAATTACAGCAGGCAGACTTTCCCACTAAGTTTACTTCTGCGTGTAGCTCCCTCCTCAGCCCACCTGAGCACCAACTCCATCCAGCAATGTGCAGGAGAGCAGCAGCTTTCCCTCTCCTTGTTGTCAATCACAGCCAGTGAGCCAATCAGGAGCGCAGGGGGTGGGGGACAAGATGCATTCTATGTGAATGGACAATGTCCATTCACAAGAGCATGGCCTGAGAGTGAGCCTGCTCGAGTACCCCCATAGGAAGAGGCTTGCTATTGGGGCACTTGGTGGAGGGAGGAGCCAGGACCACCAGCAGGGGACCCAAAAAGAAGAGCGGGCTGCTCTGTGCAAAACCATTGCACAGAGCAGGTATACATGCTTGTTGTTTTTTTATAAACATTTACAACCTTTTAGAATCACTTCAAATTCAAAGATAAGCAATGACAGCCCCTGTATTTTCTTCAACACGTCTTCTATAACCACTCCCCTGACCTATTGTAAAAAAATAAATAAATCAGAGAGGTGGTCGTCTGTTTCTGTACACCTGAGAGCCTGCGCTTTCCTCTTCTGCCACTGAACCCGCCAATCCTCTTCATTCTTCCACAGCCAGTGCTTCTCCTGCATGGTCCTGTGAGCACTGCTCACACTGATCAGCAAAGGGGCACTGTAATCACCGCTAAGCACAGCAAGGGGTTACAAGGGGTA